GGTAATGGCTTTAAACTTAACAGGGGAACTTCAGGTTAGATCTAAGGAAAAAGTTCTTCACAATGAGGGTGGTGAGGCACTGGAATAGGTTGCCCAAGGAAGTTGTGAATGCTCCAGCCCTGGAGGCGTTTAAGGCCAGGCTGGACAGAGCCTTGGGCAACATAGTTTAGTGTGTGGTGTCCCTGCTCATGGCAGGGGGGGTGGGACTAGATGATCTTAAGGTCCTTTCCAACCCTAACTATTCTATGATTCTATGATTCTTCTGATGATTTCACTGAATAGAAGACACTTATAAAAGTAAAGAGCGGAAAGAGCCTCTGCACATTCTGAAGTGGCTCCTTAATCAATTATATGCTACTTTAAAAGAACTTCATTTCAAGCCATGAGCAAATAATACACAACTCATACAATTTCATTAATTTACTATTAAATTGAATATCTTCAGAGCTATTAAAAGCCCTTCAGCAATTTCACCATTTTTCCGATGCTGAAAGTATGCCTTTGACATCAATACAGAGAAAACAGATGGATAAAGTAATTATAAAAAGAGCAGCATGACGCTATGAACCAGCTTGTCACAGTTTTACTAACAGACTAGATAACAGGCAGAAAAGTGGGTTGACAATTAACAAAGTTGTCATGTTGTGTCAAAGTGCTCCCACCTCCAAAATAAACCCCAAACCTCTCCCCAGGAAGATACAGATAGACTGGGAAGGAAGGAGCAATGAAAGAGTAGGAGTAAGAATGCAGGACATTTAAAGACCAGAAAAATCCCTGAAGGAAAATACCAACTGTACATCCCAGAAATCAAATAAAATCTGTGTTGAAGGGAAATGTGAATCTATGCAACCAATGAATCCCAAAGACTAATTTCTTCTCTTCTGGATATCTCCTCCACTCAAGCTGCACACTTCTAAAGGCTATAGCCTTTGTTCAGGTCCAGGGGATCTAGGAAGGGGACAGGAAAATGAGAAGAAAGACAGATAGAGGCCATCCGCATGCAGCAGCAAAAAGGATTCATTAAACCTGGGAGAAGCCTACCTCAAGTCAGAACAGTCTTCCAGATTAAACGGAGGTGTGGAATGCATGCTAATAGCAGTTGGAGCAGTCTTATTAGCAGACTAGAGTAGAAAATAGAAGGAAGACAGTGAAAGAAAGGGGCTGGTCCAAAGAGAAGCACATTTCTTCCTAACCTAGATGGTTTCATCTTTTCAGAACACGTTTGTGAAATCAAGGCCCACAACAATTTGACTTTTGGAAAAAAAATTATTATTAGAGCAGAATAATCATTAAATTCAAAATACTGGACATTTGTACAAAAGTGGAGTCATATGGTCAGCAGTGGACCAAAACTAGTAAAAATACTTCAAAGTACCATCAGAGTAACACACACTATGATGACAAAACTGGTAGCTAAAAGACATGGTACAAAACAAGTGTTTAGTCCAGCAAGGACAAGAGAAACTACATCAAGGGTAATAACAACTCTGAGAAACTCATATGCAGAGTAAGGCAAGCACAGAATTGTTAAACCCTGTGCTACATTAGCTGACCTTCACAATTATACTAACAAACCCCTCTAAGTTATTGCTTTTGGTATTTCTCCAAGGATCTGGCACATTGGGAAACAATTTTAGGAAGTGCAGTTTACAGGTGCATAGAGCAGTTCTCTCTCCAGGTAGCTGTAACATTAAAATGCAGGCTTGTTCATGTACTCTTCCACTGTCTGGGGAAAAAAAAAAGAAGAGTCAACTGATGCATTATGGAGCAGTACTGTAACACTCAAACCAAACCTCTTGTCCTCTTTGAAGACAGTGAAGTTTTGCCTGGAATTAGACTATTTAAAACATGGAAATAATTCTGCTTTAAAAACCTTTTACAGCATTTTAAAGTCTGATCTTCAGATCACAACATAACACCGTTGTGGCTAAACTCATCATATCTAGCCGGCCTTTCCACTTAGCTGGCTTAGTTTCATGTGCAAACGCCAGACCACTGTGAAAAACTGTTTGACCCTAGCTAGTTCTACCAGCATGCTGTTTCATTGAGTATCTTCCTTCACTACCTAGGAAGAAATTAAGTAAATCCATCACGTTTAAGCGCTTTTGCCATTCCTGGCTCAAGGGTATATTACAAGAGAATCCTGCTGAGTTCCAAATAAAGGTTACATATTCCTGCGTCCTGCGGAAAATCTACACAAGTGTTTAGGAATGTAAGTGGAGTTTGCCAGCACTTGCTTTTTCCAGTTTTAAATGTTAATAGTAGGTCAACTGTTTCCAATATATTAGTGAAACATATTCTGTATTTAGATATACATATGTATACACACAATACAATCATAGATTTTGTTCTTATACTATATAAATACCTTAGATATGTCTTAAACTATTTATTAATAAAATATCCAAGAAACCTTAGCAATTAAACTGCAAGAGAGCAAGAGCAGTATATACAGAGCTTCCAGGTGATTCCACAAGATGCAAGGCAGTTGAATTGAAAGCTTATGTAACCGCTATCTTAACTGCACTGTTGTACCTATTGAAACTGAACATAAGACACATTTAGGTAATTAAGTATCAGAAGCACTTAGCCGTATTTTCACACAGAACATGTAACATGTGATGTAAGACGAGGAGGTATTTGTCTTTTGTCTTCCTCTGCCTTACCTCCTGCAACATGTCAGAGTCTTCTATGGCTTTCACTGCGGACCTCTTTGAAGTTTCTTGTACTTCTCCACCAATTATAAACTCATCAAGAATAAAATAAGCCTTTTCAAAATTAAAGATAATATCCAGCTCACACACCTGCCAGAACAAAAGAACACCCCACATTTACATCACTTTTACAGCATTAGAAGCACTACTGGGCCAGAAGTTAAGATGATCAAACTTGTTCAACGTATACAGTCTTGTGGCAGTTAGGAGGATGAAGAACACTGCTTATGATTGCAGCTTCTACCCATAATTGTCTTCAAACAAATAGCCTAGACTTACAGCAAAGATATTCTGCTTGTATTTTATATAATACACTACATTCATACTGTTTTTCAGAGAACAAAGCTGACTTCCTAGCCTACTAACCTTACAGTACGTCTTATACAGCACTTGTAATATGGGTTACATATGTTCATGCACAGTTCCACAGAGCAAGACAAATTCCCTGTCCTAGTGACCTTACAGTCACCAACTGCTTTCTTGTTTTGAGGTGGTACAAACATGAGTCATGGCACAGTGATTTAAATAAGAGATGAATTAAGGTAGTGGGAACTGTTTCAAGAATATTCATAGAGAAGGTGGGTCTCTTGTACTCTTTAAAGACTTACTGAAAAGCTGATTTGACCTTCATCAGTTTTCTTTAAGAAAAACACATACTTTTTCTTCTTTATATCCTTCACTGTTTCACAATATTATGAAACAAACAAAACCAGTATATCTGCCGATGTCAGGAACGAGAATTAAAGCACTGTCACACAGGAGTTAAATAATTTTCCTCAAGTTTCCCCTCAAATTCTATTCCAAGACAAGCATACAAAGCATGAAGTTTAACTGGGGCAGAGTGGTAGTGGTGGAGGAAAAGCAATCTTCTGATAGTTTTAGCACTCTTTTATGAAATATACTAACAATGAGTTCACTCTGAATTGAGAAAGTCTACAGGGCAAACAGGGAGGACAGAAACACAAACTAAACCAGCTTCAGAAAACTGTTTGACAGACTGCCAGGAATTCAGTTCATAGGAGAAAGTGAAACCTACATTTCCAAAGTATCTGTCCAGAAGCTCTACATATCGGTGAACGACCTCTAGTGTCAGGAGTTCATTATCCTGGTCTTCTATTGCACAACAGAAGTACAAACTAGCATACCTAGGGAAACAAAGGCAAAAACATGAGAGTGAACAGCTGAATCCTCAGAGCTCTGCTCTGTCTCTTAGAAGTTACACAAATGACAGTTAATATCTATCTGGTCTCTAAAATAATAATATACTTTTATTTTTGTGGTGTCCCAAAGAACACTGAAAAAGGCAATTTAAACAAATTAGCTAGAAAAACAGTCTCCACCCTTGGCAAAGTGGGATACCTCCAACACTGGCCTTAATAAACCAAACAGTAAATCCCTAGTACTCACCTGCTGCAACAGCGCCACAGTAAGAGGGGTTAATTAAACTGTAGAATGAGTTACTGCTCTTTATTAACAAAAATAAAGGCAAAAATAAAGGTGGAAGGCTACTGGCTATCAAATGACTGACAGTATTTGCTATAAGGCATGAAACTGCTTACACTAAATCTTCATAAAAAAGCAAAATTTTCTGTTTAAAATCATCCCAAGACAGGAGTAGCGATCTACACCAATTCTCTGGTGCTGTGTCTGGAGGCTCAACCTGCCACATCATCTGGTCAGATGCTTACATCCACCACTTCACAGCAGGGAACTCCAATTTTTGCTAAACGGGAGATGCTGCTTAATTTGTAGTGTGCTATACCTTAAGGCTACTTTTGTTTGCTACAACTTTACAACAGTTAGTGGGCAGTGAATGCTTAGCATCCTGGAGCTGGGGACAAGTGATTTGCTTGGAAAAGGAAATGGGAATTAACACCTTCCAGACCAACAAATATTTCAAAGACAAAATATGAGACAATGTTGGAATTGCCTCAGAACAGTTCCTGCAACCACCCAAAGAGCCTGAAAAAGCCCAGCACATGTATCAGCAGGCTACGTTGTGGAATTAGGAGCAGTGAAGCCTAAAGCCTTCTAACAGAATTTCGATCACTAATATTAGGTTAACTCCATTTTTCTCTTTTGACAGATTGTGTAACTAGTCTGCACCCACAATTTACACTGCCAATTTATCCAGGGACACTGTGCTGTTACACACAGTTAAGATTGCTGATGGCAGGCTCCTACTTAGGGTTTTGTATGCTGTTTTTCTTAAAACGAGCCCTTATTTTTCCTGTTCTAGCATGTGTTATTTGTATGAATAGTAATTATATGTTCTCATAAAATTACTCACACCTTTTGTAAACAAGCTTGAGGTCTTTCCAGTCAACAAAACTACTCGTTTTTTGATTGCGAGACAAAATAATCTGAACAATTTCTCGAATGATCTTTTTCTTCTCTTTATCAGGTAGCATCGTGTTTCTGAAGCCTTAATTTCCCCTGCCGACTGAACAGCAGTATAAAGTGTATCTAGAGTAAACAAAGCAACATGGTTAACGCTGGGGCCATGGCCAGAGAAAAGCATTCCTCTGCCTGACACTGAAATCTGTGAGATCTCAGTGAAGGCATCTCTGGCCTTGGCATGACAGTTGGATGTGGCATCAGTGTGGTCTGTGGGAGGCTGAGAACAGGAGCAGAGATCCCTCCCTTCTCCTGTTTCTTACCGTGGTAGCTCTCCTTTCCCTGTAGGACTTGTCCCCTCAGCATCCCCTTTGCATCCTCTCCCACCCATCCTCCCTTACCTTGTGCAAACAGCTGCACTGCTTCCTATTCTGCCACTTCCCTGGAGAACAGGAGGAGCATCATCACTTTGCAGTGGTGAGAAAAGGGCCCCCACCCCTCCTCCAGCAAGATTAGATACCTTAGTGAAGGGAGTAAAGACTTATATTCCACAGGGCTAGGGAGATCTAGGATGCAGCATGGCACAAGACTAGAAATACGAATGCTTAGGTGCTGTCCTGGGTTCAGCTACAGCA